ATAGAAATTTGGGAACTTGAAATGTGTCTCAGGAATGAGTCAAACACAAGCACAGATATTTATCTTTCCTACTTCTTAGATAATATTCAATCAACAAATGTGTCCCTTTAACAACCAAATTGCATGTGGAGTCACCCACTAGAATTTAATTCATTTGCAAATCCTTTCCCAGAGACTTTGAATTTGCTTCTAACTTTACTTTTGGGATCCAAGTGGGCTCAAACTATTTTCTCCCTGGCTCTTTGGGCAGTGCCCCAAATTACCTTCAAGTCTAGTCAGACAGGAAACATACTTGTTCACTGTGGAGAGAAAAACAATATTTTAATCAGCAAACTGGGGAATCGCGGTAATTGGGATATGGGCAAGACTGCCCTCTGTCTCTGCTTACAGTTTCCTTTTGGGAATGGACATGAAAACTCCCTAAATTCCTAAAAGTTCCAGAGCCATTCTTAAGGAAATGGAAGTATTTTTAAATATCAGAATCATGTTATGGTTTGTTCTTTGATTCCCACGTGAGCCCTTTGATCCCATCTTTGAGAGCAGAACCTTGCTGGTTAGCCTTGTTCTGTCAAAGCCAGGAATCCTAAGACAGCAGGTGGTCAGAGGACTCCAACCTCTGACCAGACAAAATCTGCGAGCCTGCTGAAGGCTTCCCAAGCAGGGCATCCACGCACAGGGAAGGTACCTAACTCCTCCTGGCTGAAGGTCATTTGGTGAGACAACACTCTGTTTCCCATGCATGGCCCATCTTTCTTGCCAAATGAGGGGATCAAAGCCATGACAACATGTCCCTGTGGAGTAATGTCTTTGTCTTTGGCCCCTTCCTTTCTGTCCTGATGGATGTAGGTGCCACCAGCTGCCACCATCCCTCGAGAGCATGCTGCTTTCAGTGTGGGAATGCTGTCAGCTCTCTCTCAAGATGACACAGCTTTAGAAAGGACAGAGCCCTGGCAAAGACCTGTCCCGGCAAGAATCCTGACTCTTCTGCGTCGACCCTGTGCTGTAGACTCTTGTCAGCCAGCAGACTTCCTCCACAGACAGGCTGGAACCCAAAGCCCCTTCCCAGCCTCCTCTGCTTCTGCTTTGGGGAAGAATGGTGTCTTTACACCCTACTTCTCATGGCCCTGTTTTCTAGCTAGTCTCTTCCCTAGGTCTCTGTAGAATGTACAGTCAATAAACACGTCCCTCCAATGCACAAGCTACCTACCCGTGGAATCTGCCTTCTCTTTCCTCAGGAGCTTTATCTTTTCCACGCCGCTGTGGTGTTGGCAACCCTGCTGCAATAATAACGGATCACCTGAGCTGGCCTCAGCCTCAGGGAGTCAGTGTGGGTCAGCGGCTCATGCTTGTTTACTCCTGAATGCTGAAAGTCTGCTCAGTTTTTAAGTGTTTCCAAAATGTGTATAACTTACTATTCTTTATGGGTTTTATTTTATCTATACCTCCCAAGTCCAGCTGGATCTACAGAATAGAGACCTGGATATTTGTGAAAACTTCCTTTTATGCCCTCTTTCTTCTACCTTTCCTCTCGACAAAATCAGGGACCAGAAAAGGGACTAAGCCATTGCCTTATTTCAAACATTCTTGAAAAATCTTCTGGTCGAACTTGTCACTTTCATGAGTCCATACAAATAGAGCTACTCTGTTTGTCCCTCCTTCCTGGAGTCATGCCAGGTCCATGGAGGTAAGTGGGAGGTGGGATTTATTCATGTTTGAAAAATTAGGTTGATTCTGTTAATGGTCACGGGGAAGAGCTCCTGCCTCTGCTTAGGCCAGGTTCATCTATCTCCGAACCTCTCAAACTATTCTCCCATCCGCTCTATCCAGTACGACAGATATGCAGAACGGCCAAGAATTCTATCATTTTCAGAGTCTTGCAGACCCTTCCCTCATTGCCGTGTAAACATCCCCACATCCACCTCCATCTCTCAGAAGTCTCTACTCGGTCACCCAAGCCACCCAGCAACAAACTGAGTCCCATAAGGTTGGCCACACCTCGCTGACCATTCGTCTCCCCACTGCCTAAAAACATAGTGCCTTGTGTGACACATGGCTGTGCGGCTTTGTGTCCCCTGCTTAGTATACTGCTCACCATGCACCAAAGCATACAGTAAGTATTTGGGAAGCCAGTAGGTGAAGGAGTAAATGAATGAGCAAATGCACAAGAAAACCATGTGACTGATTTGGTCAAGATCAAGACAAATCACATGCACTTGGCATTGCTGGAGAAAGATACATGAAGCATGCTTCGAGTGAAAAATGGAATTCTTTAAAAACATCAGTTTAGGGATGGAGAGACAGCTCAGTTAAAAAAGCTTGCCTGTGAGCACGGGGAGCTGAGTCTGGACCCCCGAAACCGAAGTCAAAACTGGGAGTGCTGATGTATGCCTGCAATGCCAGAGCTGGTGGGGTGGTCGTGCATGCCTGCAATGCCTGAGCTGGTGGGGTGGCTGTGCATGCCTGCAATGCCAGAGCTGGTGGGGTGGTCGTGCATGCCTGCAGTGCCAGAGCTGCTGAGGCAGACAGCTGCTTCCTGGACCATCCAGGCCACAGAATCTTGACAAACCAATGAGCTTCAGTTTCAGTGAGAAAGCCTGTCTCAGAAATACAAGGCAATCAAGGAAATATGTCCGATGTCAACCTGTGGCATCCTCATAGGTGTATGCACCTGTATGCACACACATACACATGCAATCACATACACTTGGATACACACACAGATGCAATACACACATGCAGCAACCCCAGCCAGTTATAAAATTTATGTCTCTATAAAAAGGTACTAGGAATTTACCATCTGGAAGATATTTGCTAATATATGCATAAATATTAAGGAAGAAATTAGAAGATGTAGGTTTGATGCTTTTTTTCACACATTTCCATAATGCTTGAGTATTTCATATGGAAACAAGTCATGTTTACATAAACCTCCTATTAAAAACAAGCTGTAAATTTTGGGATGATATACAAATGCGAAGATTAGCATTTTGTTCTGAAGACTTCAAGCTAGAAGCTCCTGAGGTGGGGCTGTGGTGGGTGGGTGGGGGCAGCATCAGCCCCCTCCCCCCAGTAGGATGGCTTCCTGGGAGTACAGGAGGTAATGCTTACACGCAGTGACCAGAAGGAAGGGGGTCTCTGTGCCTAACACATTCTTCTTAATTAAGAACTTGTTTTCCTCGTCTCTGCAGGAGATTTCTGCTGCTTCCTAATGCAAAATACAAATGAACCGGAATGAAAGTGACAACTGTGTGTTTCCTGGGGACTGATTGTCCCTTTTATTGTTTGAAAAATATATAGACACTATCTTCATAGATGGTGGTCCTGGCTTTAGCGCTTCTTCTACCCCAAACATCCTCAAAGTGATATGCAGATTACCTTGCCTGGGGAAATGTCCTGAAATCTGATATGCTTTAGCCACAGCAGGCCGGGGTTAGCACTTGAGCAGCTCCTGTCAGTGAGGAAGCTAGGGCTGGGTTCTAGGAAACACAGAAATTCTCACACCAGACGGGAAAGAAAAAAGAGACACAGCCCAGCTGTGCTTTAATAGAGGAAGGACAAATAAACTGCGCGTTGTCCTGTTGTGAAAAATAAGACGGAAGCTAAGAAGAATGAGCCGACCTCTTACCAGCGTGAGCAAAATACGCAAGACACTATTGGATGTAGGAAGATCCAGGTAACTCTATTTGCAGCACACACGCGCGCGCGCGCGCGCGCGCGCGCACACACACACACACACACACACCTGTGGTTTATCTTCCACTGGATTGAAATGTGTAAACATGTGGGAACTCCTAGAAGGGCACAGAACATTGAAAAGCTTTCCCCTTTGCATAAAGCAATACTCTTCAGTGAGGGCCGGGGTTGAGATCACACTGAGACAGGGCTAAGACCTTTGAGTTTAAGGAAAGCTAGTCTCTCACATTACGTAGGACTTCAAATGCATCGCACTACTGCCTGACACAAAGGATACGACCAGCAAGTAGAGCTGATCTGTTTATGATGTGCTGATTTAGTTAGAACATTGTCCACATTGTCATATAGGTCAAAGATGTACGCTAAGAGAAAGATGCTTCTCTCGTTTGTACACTTGAGCTGGATGGGAAACGGTTGAGGCTGGGCAGCCATGCTGTTGTGGGGCTGCCTGCTACACAGCTCCGACTAGAGCAGGGTCCACCGCCCCCAAGCAAAGCACCTTTCTCCTTTACCAGCCTCTAACAAAGTGTTTTAACTACTCCATTCGTTCCCCGTAGGCAGCAGCATGACATTTCCATGGCAGGGAAGCTTACGTGTACTCCCTTGTAGAAGTAGATGGGCTCCCGGCCACACAATTTGATAATTGAGAGATCCAATTGGCTGCCTCTGATGTGGGAAAATGGATTTATTTGAACAGGGCTGGAGTTTGGACAAAGGGTTTCCGGCAGCCGGGTCAATAGCCCTAACAGACTGATGACAGGCCAGGAGTGTGCAGGGGAGGGCAGGGGCGGGCAGCGGCCGAGAAGCTGGAGTTTGGATCTGCTGCCTCTGCTCTGCCGGGAAGTCCTTGGAGGAAAGAGCCTGATTTCACTTCCTTCCTGGCAAGTCATTGTCCCCCAAATCAGGCCTCCTCCTGTCAGCAGGACAACTGTGTCTTCTGTTGCTGTGGGAACACTGTGACCAAGGCAGCTTATAGGCAACTTCTAAAAGGACACGTTTAACTGGGCCTCGCTTACAGTGTCCGAGGGTTACAGCCCACGGCCATTATCAGGCAAGCATGGCAGCAGGCAGAGAAAGAGCAAGTCTGGACCTGGAATGGGCTCTATTTCTGTGCTTGGAGTAGATGCCATGTTGAGCTCTTTCTGTCTTGCCAGCTCCCAACCTCCTGAGTTCTCCAGCATGATATGAACTCACTGTCCCAATGGGACAACACTGAGGGCCAGAACCAGGGACAGCTCTACCCTATGAGAACTAAAGCTCTACCTGCTAGATGTACCCCACACCCCGGTGAGATACCCGAAACCCACCACCTTTCCAAGGAAATGCAGGGGGTGTAGGTGTGGGACACTCGGGCCCACTTTGAAGCCCCTGCCTAGATAAAAAGATGCCATCCGATCTTGCTGTTCACATCCTCCTGTCAGATACAAGTCTGCTCACTAGGGAAGTCTTCATGTCAGGGGAAGTAGTAGCTGAGCTGGGCCGATGACAGCAGCCAGGGGCAGCTGTGACAGCAGAGCCTGCAGGGGCGGGAGAAGCAGCAGTAGCGTCAGCAGGAATGAAGTGTCTGACACTGCGCCCCAGTGTCTGCGTTCTGTGCGCTGGCACCCAGTTCTCGAGCTTCGGGCAAGGGGGCTGGAGGTTAAAATACACAGACACACACAGACAGAGAGAGGGCGACACGGGTCATCCATGAATTCCCTAAGAATGCCCCCTTTATTGTGTTCAGGGGCAGATTATATAGAGGTAGCCACGCCCCAGCCAAACCCACCAGAAACCACTCTCCTGCCATCAGCAACTCCTGAAGGTCTCGTGCTCAGAGCAGCTGTAGGCACTCAGATCAGGGGAAAACAAGTTGTTTACAAGAAATTCAGGATCTGGGGTCTCACTGCTCCCAATACCTGGGAGCCATGTGGGCAGAAACTGTAGGATCAGAAGCAGCTAAGACAGGGAGGTTAGAAGAAGTCCCTGAAAGCCAATGATGACAAATTGTAGCTCCAGGCTATGATTGTGCCCCAGCGAGCTGCCAGGGGCCAAGCACTGTAATGCTGGTCATGTTCGGGGCCAGTGGTGCCAAGGGCTGTGACACTGCCATTCCCTGCTGCTGCCCACACTGGCCGTTGCTTCAGGGCAGGCATCATTAGCCACTAAGTGTACAACTACTGACGCCAGTCTAGAACTCAGAGACAGGAGCGAGTCTAGCCTTTGGCTTTCAAGAACTGTCCATACTGAGCAAGTCACCCTTCGCTTAATCACAGTCCCCATCTGGACAGAGCCAAAGGCCCTCTAGCAGCTGACTGCTGACAAGCCACAAGTCTGAAGGTGCTGTGGAGTTAACAGAGCACCGAGAGGCAGGGAGGGTGGCAGCTAAGGAGCTCAGAGAGAGCCAAAATGCTGCATAGATAAGGTCCCTTCAACACTTTAATTCATGCAGAGGGGCAGGTAGGTTTTCATAAAAGTGCTTGTGGTCTTTCCAGCCTGGAGACACAGGGAAGTGACATCCATGCATTTGACTTGGTTCTGAGATATGGAAGGGTTCCACAGAAGGAAAAATTCCAGAGGGGGAACTTTCTGAACTCTATTTACTCTCATCTCTGTATAACCCCGAAACAGTGGGGCATGAAGTAGGTGGAGAGCTGGTAGCTGACAGACAGAGCTCTGTATCCAAACCCAAGCAGATGGTTCAGAGAGAATCTGTGGGCAGCAACGCTAGCACAACAGCCTGCTAACAAAGGAAGCAGCATTCACTGGTGCAGATGCAAGACTCCAGACTCACTCCAGGATCCTTCTAACTCTGCATTCAAGATGTCCACATGTAATCTCAGATTGCCTGACTTTCAAAGAATCCAGGGAAAGAGGGGGCTGAATGCAAGACTGCTATTACTCAAACAATGACACCAACCCACAAGAATTTTATAGCAGCCAAGAGAATTATCCCCAGTGAAGGAAAACAAACGAGGTTTTCACCTCAGGGAAAATGCAGCAAAAAGACAAGAATGAAGAGCAAATTGAAGACAGAGAGCTGAAACGGGTAAATGTGAAAATTAAAGAAAAACTCATAGAATGGACTTAGCTGAATGAGCGTAACAGAGACAGTAAACAATGTGAGATCAACAGAAATTACAGATCAACAGGTAAGTGTAAGAGTTTCAATCTATACCACCGAGAGAAATTAAAGAGAAATAACAGAAGGAATGGACCACAGTCATGGGTCCAAACTGCTCTCTACATACGGATGTCAGCTCTGCCCAAATTCGATCTGTAAGTTCACTGAGTTTTCTGTGGAGCCACAAGCAGTCTGTTTGGGGCACTCGGGTACAACATTGTCTATTGCTTTGTCTCTGGGTCTAAATATCTGAAAGAGCCAGCTAAAGTGTCAGGGATTGCAGTCACAATTCTTGCACCCCCTGCCTGGACTCTGATGCAGCAGAATATTGCTGTGGGGGCCTGTAGGGGGAGAGTCGGGTTACCTCATGGTAGACAAAAGCAAGGGTCAAGGGAAGAAACAGGAACAGTCATCCCAACTCCTAAGGTTTCTAAGTTTTCCCAGAGCAGTCCCACAGAGAGGTGCTAAGCCTGTGACAGGTTCGCTATGGGTGTGGGGACATTTCACAGTTAAATCGTAAGACCTGACAAGCCAATTTTGAAATGAAATATGAGACCAAGAAAATTGAGATAGCCTTGAAGAAAGTGAAAGGACAAGTTATATCGAATATGAGGTTCTTAGGACCACGGCTAGTTTTACAGTGCAGTGTTGAATCGAGGAGAGACAGAGGATCAATGGGGCGCAGAAACACACACACACAGGTGTGGAGCCTGGTTTGAGAAAAGCAAAGCTGCAGAGAAGCAGGGAAGGGTTGGGCTTTCTGGTAAGCGGCATTACAATCAGACGATAGCCACTGTAGAATACTTGATCTTATTTCACACACGCAGAGTCCGTCTTTAGCAGCTGTTAAGATGGCTTAGTTAAGACTGAATTCTGACTGGGCAGTTCTGGCACACACCTTTAGTGCCAGCACTTGGGAGGCAGAGGCAAGAGAAATTCTTTGAGTTAGAGGTCAGCCTGGTCTACAGAGCAAGTTCTAGGACAGCTAAGACTACAAAGAGAAACCCTGTATTGAAAATCAAAACAATAAAACAAAACATAACAAAACAAAAGCACACTCTATTTAATGTGGATGCTGGAAACCAAACTTGGGTCCTCTGGAAGAGCAGAGCAGTGTGTACTCTTAATCTCTGAACCATCTCTCCACCCCAAACTCATGAATACTTTAAAAAAGAAAAGAATGAGGGGCCAAACCCTCCTTTTAGGAATAACGCTATCAGTGCAGATGGTAAAGATGGCAGAGGAAAAATTCAGTTCAGATGATGAGAAAACTAAGTGTTCAACCTTGGGCCACCAAGCTCTGACCATCTACTCTGAAAAGAAACCAGCTCCATTCACGCTTTATTAAACCTCTAGCAGATTTTGATTCCTTATAGCCAATCCAAACCCTAATTTCTATAAAGTCAACACTAGTTCACAGCACCACACGGGACCTAGTGATTGATGCTGTGTAATAATCCTTCTGTACACTGTGAATATATATTACTGTCATTGGTTACTAGAGAACTGACTGTCTGATAGCCAGGCAGGAAGTATAGGCAGGACAGCCAAACTGAGAATGTTGGGAGGAAGAGGGGCAGAATCAGTACAGTCACCAGGAGATGCAGAAAGAAGCAAGATAGACATGCTGTGCTGAGAGAAGGAAGGTATCAAGCCACGTGGCAAAGCATAGATAAGAAATACAGGTTAATTTAAATGTAAGAGTTAGCTAGTAATAAGCCTGAACTATTGGCTGAGCATTTATAATGAATACTAAGGCTCTGAGTGGCTAACTGGGATCTGGTGGGTGGGGCAAAAAACTTCCACCTACAGATTGGTTCCAGGGATGGTAAGAGAAATCACAACATAGAAAACAGAGGATTGAGCAAAGAGATTCTAGACAACCAAACAGAAGCATGGAGACTATTAGGGACAGAGACAATGGGGCAAAGCCCATTTTTTATTTCCCAGAAGAACTTAGGTCAGCTGCCAAGTTTGTGACAAAGTTGCTACAGCTCCAGGCTTCTCTTGTTCTGTGAAAGGGTAATGTTATGGCCACTGTCAAAATGAATACTGAGTAAATATGTATGTATTTATTCAAATTGACTATGACCACTCTTGTACTAGGAGGCTTCTTGTGCATTTCTGAAATAATCACACAGAAATTTGTATTAATTGCAATGTTGTTTAGCCAATAGCTTAAGCACACTTCTGGCTAACTCTTATATCTTAAACTAACCCATCTCCATTAATCTGCGTATCACCACATGGCTGTGGCTTACTGGGTAAAGTTCTGTCCCCTGCTTCTGTCTCTGGCAGGACTACATCGCATCTCACTGACTCCACCTTCTTTCTCCCAGCATTCAGTTTAGTTTTCTCTGCCTAACTCTATTCTGCTCTGTGCAGGCTCAAAGTAGCTTCTTTATTAACCAATGGTATTCACAGCATACAGAGGGGAATACCACATCACACTCTTTGATGAAAGTGTCATTTCCAAAAGCCCTTTGCTCTTGAGTGCAGTCAGTCCAGAACCCTGAAAAGTTGTTTCTCAGAACTGAGCTTTCTGTGTGGAATGCAGGGTCTTGAAGGAAGGATTATGAAAAAGTCAGGATAAGTCATACTCATTTCCAAAATCAGATTGAGCCCAGATTATTTTTCAAGTCCGCTGTGAAGCAAATCAAAGTTGTTTTTAAATGCATAAATCCAATAAGCCAGTTGGACTCAGGACTAAACCTGTATCTTTTCTAGAACAACTCAACCAGAAAATCAAAAGATTCCCTAAACAGAAACGGAATTGAGCAGTATCATCACTGCATTTGGCTCAAGTCCTTGGATCTTGGGAGGAGGCGAGGGGCTTGCACAGGGAGAGCTGGCCTTGGGAATCACAGGGGAGGCAGAGGTTCTGTGAGCCTGCTTCTGTGTAGAATGTAGAACAAAACCTTGACTTGCAGAAGCAGCTCTGGCTTACAGATAGCGATTTAGCCATCAAAGAAGTTGACCTATATTTGTCTGTACAGACTTTGCACTCACTGCTTAATGGGGCCTCAGGAAATCAACTGCGACCAGAGAAGACTGCAGAGTTTGGCCCAGTGTGTTGTTCTTCCCACGACTGGCTGTGTACCTGACAGCTACGATTTGTTACAAAAAGAATACAATGTTTTCTTCTTCGAGCCCGCTCCTTGAGCCTAGCAAAGAAAGCGTGTACCTTTCCAAACACCCACAACAGTGCCGCGTTTGATCAAGGGGAAGTTTCACTGGTGCAGACACCTAGGCTGTCAAGAAAAGTATTGTAATGCAAATGCATCCTCCTCCTGGAACTCAGCTATTCAAAGAGCTATAGAGGAGGAAGGAATGACTGCTCAAAGCCAAAACGCAGAAAGGAAGCCTGGCAGTGCCATAGTGGCTTGTCTCTGGCGTCAGCACAAAACAAAAAAG